TTGTTTTCTCGTTTTGCTTGCCAGACGCTTCCTCCTTCTGGTCAAACTCTTACCCAAAATTATTTTTCATCTCATTTTTCCCCAATAAAAGAATAAAAATGCGACCCCTGCTTTTCACCTGTCTTCTCCTCCTCGTCGCCGACGTATTCGCCCAATTCGACATGCCCGTCATGGACGCCGATGGCATTCCACCCGAACAAATGCAGGAGGCGAATGAAGACGCGCAGAAAAATTTGGATAAATTGGGTATCAAGTCGGCCGACGCACCCTGCATGTGTAAAGGCAATGGAAAGGCGGCTTACGTAAGTGGGGTCAATTTAAGGGTGACGGGAGGAGAAATATTGTTTGAAATTCCTGCGAAGATTTGGGGGAGAGAATGAGAATAAAGAAGTGAACTAACTCCACTAACTTTCGTGTGGGCGTGAATTCAAATGTAAGCCATATTACATATTTGCTTAAATTGCAAATTATAGATTTGTACTTTAATAACTAACCTCCCAGAAGAAAATTTAAAATTCCTGGGGACATTATTGTTCAAAAATGAATGTCAATAACCTCCTAATTTAATTTGGAACGCGGTTAATCAGGAAAATTAGGGCGCGCCTCAATTTAACTTGGACCCGACAGCGCGGCCAAGCAGTTAAGAGAGTCTAAATTCTGCCATATTCTACCCAGGTTTTACTTATTTGCAGTAGTGCGGACATCTCTTGAACCAGCAGTACGGAACCCCCAACTGTTTCGACGACTATGTCTACGTCTGCCTAGGCGAAGCAGGGACTGACTCCATCGCACGACCGAAAGCTCCCTGCAAGCATAAATGTCTCACCGGACCACCGGGAACCGACAGTGCGGGATGCGGTCACTAGTTGGCAGCATCTCCCGGATTCAATTGGACATTAGTATTTTTTAAATAAATATGTACTTCGAGGCGGTTCCGTAATTCATTCCGGACGGAGAACAACATGTCATTTATTGTCATATTTACACCCCCTCATGCAACGCATAAACATTTGTTCAAAAAAACTTTTTTCATTCATAGTTCTGTCAACCCGATTTCTACTGCAAGATTTACATTCGGTCATGTATGCAAATTAAGAGACGCATTTCATTTAATAAGGGAGCAAGTTTAATAAATTAAGAGGTTGCTTTCCATTTATCACCATAGGTTGCACAAATATTGAGAGGATCGTCTCCAGTATTTTGAAAAGAGTTTATATTACCTCGGACAACAACAGGATGTACATCCATACCCTCGTCCATCATATTTATCTAACTCAGCGTAATTCAGGATGCAAGTAATTTCTTAACAAAACTTTTTATCAAATTAAGCAATTACTTATATATACATACTTACATATTCATATTTACATACATACATTAAAACAAAAAAAGTAGGATGTACCCACGCACACAATTTAATACTGTAGTCTCAATAAGTATTGGCACGTTGAGAATTTACATGCTTACAACAATTACCCATTATGTGGAGACGTGCGTATAATCTTTCACCGATGATTTACCCCCTCTTAAATTGTTTACGTAGAAAAGAACATGAACGGAAAACGAGAAATGTTTGGTCGACACTAAATCTAGCCAATCGTTCACCTTGCGTAGTACTACTTCTTTGCAATTTTGGAAAGCTGTTATGGTTCCGCAGGTATTGCTGTCTTGGGATTGAAATTTCCACCGGATGGTTTTAAAATTATTCCGGTTCGTAAATATGGCAACACTTTTATACGGATGTACATACATCATTCATAAATACAAAGAATTACTTCTCAATCTCACCTCCGTACAGTCGTATATGTACGTATACCTTATTTTATTTCACACTGGCTTCTTTAAGATCATAAATACTGAGTGTGTCACTTTTTTTAAGACTGCCAATTTTTCTAAAATAAATATAAAAGATGTTAGCATATTTTATAAAAAATCCAATTTTCAGAGAACTCATGTTCCGAACGATATTAAAGGACAAAATCTCCCCTCTATTATATACCATATCATTGCTTATAGTACTTTTCTTACACTTCGCGCCAACAGAGTGTAGTTCTGTTCATGTCCACAACGCTCAACCGCGAAGTCGTCAAATAGAAATTACGCATTACTTAGCCCCATTTGAAAATTGCAACAACATTATTGTTGTCTCGCGAAATATTCAAAACCTAAAATCACACAGAGCACCCATTATCCTCTTCACCACGCCTTATTCCGACCTCCTAAGATTTCCCGTCCTTCGAAGAAATGTTTCCCACTATTGTTCCGCCTCATTTCGTATAATGCCCAACCCTAACAATCCCAAAGCAACGGTGGACTGGAACCACGGAATAAAAACGTCCTTCGGTTTACAGTACTTCATTCTGGTTACAAATTCGAAATCGACATTTCAGCAATTCATAGAAAAATTAGGGGCTGACTTCTACCATTATAAGAGGAAAGAAATTATGATAATTGACGTCACCCTAGACGTAAATGGGGTGACTATTTGGCCCGCAAGTGCCGACCACGTGACATTTTATTATCACAATATGTACCATCATGAAGGAATAAGTGTGTCAGGAAATCCGTCCAGATGCTGGATTCAAGTACAGTGTGAGGGGCACGATTGCTTCGACGAGTTACAAATTATAGGAGAAACTGTGTCACAACTTAACAAGTATTTTTGGGAAATTAACAACCGAGCAATTGCCAGTGCGCGATGGTCTAATGAGAAGAAGCCACTCCATAAGAAAAGCCCGACTGAAGGTTACTTTTTAACAGATTTAATCGAATCGAAGGAATTTTGGTTACCTCATGATTTCAACCGATATTCCGATTTAAACATTACCCCATTCTACTACTTCCCGACATTAAATAAATTTTTTACCAGTCACAGTCGTCCATTCGAATTTGTAATCGAGCAAGTCCAGACGGAAAGATTCTTGTCGTGCTACAAAGTAAAGCCTGACTCATTTATTCTAGCCGCACTTACAGACCCGTTCGACATTTCGTCATGGATTTGCATTGTGTTGAGTCTCATGCTTACAAGTACAATTTTAACTGCATTGCTAGCAACCCCTACAATGGATGGGGTTATATTTATGATCGGAATATTTCTAGAGAACTCAGTAATGGATCGTTTGATCAAAGTTAAGACAAGATTTCACATCACTGTGGGGCTACGTTTATTAGTTGGGGTGTGCGTCCTTCTAACTGGAACGGTGTTAGTTAACTGGTACAAAACATTATTCACGATGGAAATGATTGTACCAGCTTGGCAAACTTCACCATGGGAGACGCTCTTTGAGATTCAGGTGATCATGCCGTTCAACCTCGTCGGAATACCTGGCGTGCAACCACCCCGGATAAGCTACCTGGTTTTCTTTGCCACTATACGGCATATATTCTTCCCATTCAGCTACGAAATTGAGTAGGTTTTTCTACTTATTTAGTAGGCAACAACCAGGCTGGTCAGGATTTGCGCCATTTAAGAATATGCTGTTAGGGTATGTATCTATCTAGAATAAGTCCAGCTTGTTTTACGGTAAGTTAAAGCACCCCATAGCGCAAAATACTGGACAGTTGACTAAGCCAATTCTAAACTAGTGTTCCATATTTGTGATCCAAATGAACCTAATCATTTTCACGATTATTTTCATTTAGCCAGTTTAGAGAGGTGGAAACGGGTCAATCCGGTGTCAAAAAAATGGCAACACGCGTAGAAAACACCTTTAACGTGGGTATTGGCATAAAGCCCACCTTCAACGTAACAAACTATACAGCATACGTTTTGAAAATGGAGAACATCTCGTACCACACCATGTTGCCGATTTCGCCCTTCAAGCCAATTCAATACGAGGAGACGGACAGATTTATGGATACAGTATCGGCCTGCCAGAAAATCGCGTATCTCGACACGTAGGAAAATATTGACGCGTTGCTACCCTTTGTTAATGATAATCTCAACCAGAAGAAGTACTTGACGGGGAACGAGCCCCTCTTCTCGGTAACCCGAGGCTGGAGCAACTTACCAATTAGAGGGAATTACGCTCAGAGACGGATCAAGAGCATGATCTCGTCAGGAATTTATTCCCATCTTGAGGCCTGGTTTAGATCGGGTAAACCAAACAAACTATTTCACTACTATGCCAATTGGACACGTCCAAAGTTTACTCGTGTGTCGCAGCTTGACTCTAGCTCCAAGATTATGGCGGGTTTCTATATTTGCGGAGTTTGCATGGGAAGTAGTCTAGTTTGTTTTGCGGTTGAAATAATTATAACCAAATGGGGCGTGGTTAGAGGGTCAAGCATAGTACGCAGGTTTGAAGTTGTCAAATAATAAATTGAATTTTGTGAATTTCTAAATCCTGTGAGTAACCGCACCATTTATGTAAAAATTGGTGACAATTTTTTTAAAGCTTTTTCGAATGAACTAATGTTGAACAAATAGTTATTGCTTTTATAGAGATGAATAATTTTATTCATATTTCATACTATGCCTAACACATGGGGCGCACTATGAAACATATCTGACTAAAGGAAACTTTAAAATTAAATGAATAAAAAATGAATAATATATAAATACGTGAATAATTAATATTTGTTATCTAATTGTAAATAAGTGAGTAATTAATGCACATTTTTCTAGTTTGTGAATTAAATGAATATAATTCCTGCGTTAATTCATGCAATTGCACGAATAAATATTTTTCTAACAGCTGAATACCCACATCATTTAAATACATATGATAGATCTAAAATTTCGTCTAAATATGCATCTTCCATAGCGAATATGAATATACGACTAATGAATTTCCCTTCAATTGAATGAAAACGACTGATTCTGAATGTTAACCTTCAGTCAAAAATCTGACTGACTTAACTATTTTGAATGAAAATCAATTTTTCCAACTCGTCCCCACAATTTAAAGATCAACTCAAAAAACTAAAATTCATTTCAGAAAGTTTATTTTCAAATTTCAAAAGGTGGAATTAAAATTATAATTTATACTCGTAATAAATACAACGATTGAAATATTTATATTTATTTCGTCAAAATTCATCTAATCTCGTAATATAATTTCAAAATTTTGAAAATCTCTAATAGTAGAGGATGTCCCAGTGATTGCTCTCTCGGGCGTAAATGTTTCCAGCGGCGGATTGGTATTGCGGGGCCCCATCGCCGGGTCGGTTTCCAATGAAGGTGTACGTGTTCGTGATCCAGTTGTTGACGCACGTGTTCAAAGAAATGTCAACTTTGTATCCGTTCCAGTGGGAATAAGTTCCCGAGGCGTGGCCAGTCTGGGAAATTTTTAGAAACAATTTTAGCTTAGTTAGGATTACAACTTTACTTTCTTGAGTGTTACAATTTTTACCAAAAACCCTCAATTTTTCTTTCCATAATTTTTCTCACTTACATAATTCCTAGTAATTCCAATTTTTCTTACAAAATGACAAATTTTTCTACTTAATATCTAATTTTTCCCTATCTCGCCCACCTTTGTTTTGACTAAATCACAACTTTTCCTAAATTTGTCAACTTTAATTTAATTCCCAATTTTTCCAAATGTATTACAATTTTTTCCACCTGTTCTTACATAAATTACCAGGTATTTAAGATATATAAGAACATGTATTTTTTTAGTTCCAAATTTTTTTGTCCAGTTATTGAAATAAATGAAAGTCCCATTAATTTGTAACTTTGGGCTAAATGCTTTCCTCTTATTCCCAATTTTCGCCACAATTTTAAGGTAAAATTTTCACCATTTACCTCAGTTCCTCCCGTGATTGTGACGGCGCATCCGGACGCGGACTTGAACGTCGTAATTCCCCCGGATCCAGTGTCGATCGTGTTGATGTTGACGTTCTCAAGGGACGTGCAGGTCGGGTTGTTCCGGTCACTGCAACCGCCCGAGGAACTGATGCCAATTCCGGCCGCCTGGATTTTTTGCAACGCCACGGCATGCGTGTACTTAATCTGGGCGGAGGCCAGGCTATAAAAAAAAGAATTTGAAAAAATTCATATTTTTTCAATTTACAGACCAATTGTGTAAATACTGGCAACATTTTAGTGATACCAAAATTTCTCAAAATTTTGAAAACTATAACACTTTTTCAAATATTGCTTATTTAGAATTGCATGGAAGGCTTGATGCTAAAAAGGTTTTCGGATATTTTTCCCCTCAAATTCGGTAATTTTCCCAATACCGACCAATGTTAAAAAGAGGATTAAAAAAACTTAAACATTGAAGACTTCTTGAAATAAATATATACCTTTTATGGGAAATAATGACCATTTTAATTGATTGCTTGACATAAAGTGTGAATTAGCAATTTTATGAATAAAAAATCACTTTAACCTATTGAGTACTATGATTTAAAAAAATAATGCCAATTTTTAAAGATAAGCAATTAATTCCTTTCTTACGTATTTTAGTTTTATTTATATACGCACCTGGCACACCCCACAAGGCAGACGAGGATCAGAAGGGACTTCATTTTCGATTAGTGGTATGTGGTTCACGTCGTCGTCAACTGGGCCGAACTGGTTCACTGTTACCAAGGCGACGCAAATTTATACCAGTCCATTCGATTAGATAATTGGTTGTTCAATCAAGCAAAGTCTTCCCTAATCTGGCCCAATGACAGGTGAGCGATGAGTGATGACACAGCCAAATTTTTCTACCTGGCTTATTCTCCTCGTGTTTTCTGTTCGTTCGTCTGTTCGTTCGTCCAGTTATTGACATATGCACTTAAGTAAATTTGGACAAGATGACTCTTAAAAATGTTGTGGTAAATGCACCTTAAATTCTAGGTGATGTATGTATGTAACTGGACTACACAAAACTCAGAACAACCTACTCTTGATAATGGGTAGAGTTTCATAATTCTGAATTTAGTTGCTTATCAATATGGAATTAAGAGTACATTTACTTTCTAAAACTGTACCGTTATTTCCAAGAGTGCAGTGTTAAATCTTATACTGGTACGTCGTGAAAATGTGTATACATTAGGATAATTTCAGTATTAAAACGGAACCCTGCATACAAAGGATGTCGGGTAGAGCAATGTGTATCTAAATTTTCTTAAATATAAGTACAATTCCCCGTCTCGGGCTTAGCGAATTCGTAGATCCGAACATCATGCATAAATACGTCGGAATATGTACAAATTGAGTAATCCCCGAGTAAAACGAGCATCAAACATACTGTTATATAACGGATAATGCAAACGATTTTATTGAGGCCATGGTTGGGCGGGAATTTGAGATGCATGCCTTACACAATAGTTTGTAACTAAATAAAGTTTTGGTAATATGTACATATTTATTACCCGACTGAAATTATAGAAAGTTTTTACTTAAATATTTTTATTCAAACCGACCATTCAACGGAAAATTAAGTGTCACGTGATTCCTAATTTTTTACTTGATTTCCTGATATAACTCGCTACACAATCCCGATCTATCGAGCTTCAAAAAGGGTTCCATTGTGGGTAACTCATGACTCCGCTGAGTTTATTCGAATTAATTTTACCGTTTGGCTCGATTATAGCTCGTGAACAGCACTACATACTTCAGAGTTATCAAAAATGCCCACCTATTCCTTCGCAACTGCGCTGCACCTGAGTATGCAAGCGGACAAAAGTCAACCATCATCCAACAGCTCAGAAGATATTATCTCTCCCCGTGATATCACTTAATTAATTTTCCATCCAATTCATCCATCACACTGCTTGTCAGATAATTTGTCCCAAAATAAATAAATTTCCACTTGCATAAATTCCTGCGTGTGTAGACCCGTTAAGTAATTATTCCATCTTATGTACACAATTAAATGCAAGATTATTTATTTATGAACAAGGTTAAAATTGATGAACAAGTTGTTCAGAACAACTCAACAATAAAGGGTTTCTAAACCCAATTTCTATCCTCTTGGGTATGTATTAAATTTGCGCATAAAGTACCAAAAATGTACAATTATGTACATATATCTAAAAATAAGTTAATTACAAACTTTAACTGTAAAAAGAAAAAAACACAATTTTATGAAGAATCTATCGTTTTTATTGGAACTGTTAAAAATGTGGTGAAGTCACACATATCGGTATTGATTTGGTAATAACTTCCTCCCGACTTGGTACCAACAGCGGTAAATTTTTTATTATCACAAAGTTATTAAAAAGGCAGTGCACTTTTTTACTGGAGTATAAACATTTACTCCAGTCAGTCACGCTTTAATACCAGTTTTCTAAGAGTGTACAACGTGTATATTTTTGTGGCTTTATTCAAGAGAAAGATGAGCCCAATTGCATCATTGATTAAAAATTAAAACATCATTCCTAGAAAATTTTACAATAAAAATATCTCCACATTTACATAAATATGTAGATAGATAAATACTGATAGTTGGTACATATAATATTGAAGTCAGAGAGCATTTAATTTTCAAAATAGTAACATTATTTTTAAGAGTGTACTTAAAAAAATCATTCCAACTCATCCATCCAAACTTACAAACTGGTTCTACACCTCGCTCGCCTTAATGACCACTAATCTCGCTTCTGTTTCGCACCCTGCAACTTTGTCCCGAATCTGACCCACCGTTAAATACCCGGAGTATGAAGCGTTTTGAACCTCGAGTTCCGCCCGAGCCCGACAATTCACCGGAGCCACGCAGTTTTCTAAGTCCTCGACAACTTGATCAAGCACGTCCAGATTTTCTTTCAAAGTAGTGGCAAATTTTTCAGAAATATTACGAATTTCGAGAAGCGTAGAATTCCTGTCGAGTTGCATGTCGTGCAGCATACTATTCGCAAACCTGTTCAAAACAAATATTTTCATTCAAAAGTCAATCATCCCGAAGATTTTCATTCTGATGCTGTCGTTCACGCATTTTATTCGACTTATTAAACATAGGGTGAAAATGGATGAGTGAAAAATCCTTTCATTCACAGTCATTCAATTGAAATGGAAGAATCTTTCACTTAAGTATCATCCAAACTTAAGTAACGTCCATATATTACGTCATCATTTTTATGTGAGGGTGATTTATGTAGGTAGGTCTTCCCCATGTTAAACTTCCCTATCCCTTAATATATACATACATACGTTGGGTGGGTGGGTGGATGCTAAAATCGAGAATTTTCTTTGACGTAATATATGGATGGCCCCTTAGTTTGGCTCAAATATATTACGTCATGGAAAAGAACTCTACGTGGATGGCTTTGGTGTTACTCGTGTTAAACTTAACATGACTAGGATAGGGAAGGGGTGGCTGGGTGGTATTAAAATAAGCGTCTTTTTTGATGACGTAATATATGAACATTCCCCATAATCTGAATTGGTCTTCGAAAAAAAATCATTATTTTATAATATCGCTATTAGTATATCTTACATAATTCTTTACGTATTCATCTGATTTCGTAATACCAATCAACTGTTCTGGCTGACAACCCTTTAATTATTTTGTAACATATTCAAATTCCGCAATGACTTTAGTTATACATACACAGATATATGTAAATTTGTATGGCTTATCTTATCTCCCAAAATTAAATGCTTACGTTCACATGTACATTTGACGATAGTAAGGATAGATTCTGGTATAAAATTCAATCCATTCTGTCAAAACTAATTAGTCAACCTTCTGGCCGACCTTTGTTACCATGTTGCTTCGACTAATTTATATCACTGCCTTCTTCAACATTGCGCTGGGCTACGTGCAGGAGCTGTCATTATTTACAGAAATTGGCTTAGAAGGAAATGAGTTCATCTTCCGAAGTAAGGAGCCCGATATTACGGCATATTCGGCCTTGTTGCGGGATGTAAAGTCGTTATGCTACAAAGGACAGTACGTATTTTTAAATAAAAAAATTATTTTTAATGTCGTGTTGTCAATTTCATATTTGTTATTGCAATAAGAAGACATTTTTCTGAATTGATATAAAAACCAAATGGACAAGGAATGAAAGGAAAATTTTAATTGGTAATTTTTGGTAAATTTTTGGTATGTTATGACATGCGATGCCTACCGATAAAGTGTATCCTGTCGATTAAATGGGGGCCATCCATATATTAAGTCATCAAAAATTTTCGATTTTACATAGCACCCAGCCATCCAGCGTAAGAATTAAGGAATAGGGAATTTTTTACATAGGAAAGATATTCAGACCAATACCATCCACCCACTAAACTAATTACGTAATATATGGACGTTCCCATACCCAAACTGCACTATCTTGCAAATTCCCGTCATCGATACATGACTTAACCCATGTATGTATGTACTGTCCCGTTTGCTCGGACTCTTAAAACGAGGACAGAGTTTTACAAGGGAACTGGCCAAGGTGTACAGCTGCTCCTCCCCTGCTGGTTACATTAGCCGAATCAGCCGAATTATTTTATTTTGGCGTAGAAGTCATACGAAATTGAAAAATTTGAACGCCAAAATAAAAATAAGTGATTTAAAATAATAAACGAGACAGTATTTAAAACCTATTTGGTTTTGTAGTTGGAAAGGTTATAGTGCAACGAACTATACAAGTGATCTTACATTCACATACACTTCCGTTTCTGGAACGCAAGTTTGCCTAAATAGAACAATTCCTGAAACCCTGTCTTTCCGACATCACGGACCCTCGGACCCAACAGCACCAAGTGTTTCAATTTACAGCGGAGTACCAGGTAACGCACATGGCGGGATGGAGCGAACTTTTACTGGATTAGCGGCCAACAATTTTGACTTTGTTCCAACTGCCCTGATTCTTACGGGAAGATCGAGTTGGACTGGATTTTTCAATAATGATTTTTCCGGAAACTCGACATGTTACTCAACCGCAGAGTTGATTGGATGGGTTTATATGTACGGAAATGTGGTCAGGTCCATAGTCCAAGGATGTAATCCGATTCATGAAAGCGATTATTTTGATGTTGATAAGTCTTTGTGAACATGTTTAAGTTGTCGAATTGTGTAATATTTAGATTAAAATTATTATGTATTAAACCATGGTAATAAATGTTATCTTGCTATTTGAATAAATTTAAAATGATACTAATTTCCCTATAATACATGTACCTAAATTACAATCAAAATTACAATCAAAGTAACAATCAAAATAGAGGTTGGTCTATCTGCATATTAGCATAAATAATTACAACATATAAATTAGATGCCATTTAATTTTTAAAAGAGCAACATTATTTTTAAGAGTGCAAATACTTAATTTCATTCATCTAAACTTGCAAACTGATTCTCCACCTCGCTCGCCTGTAGGGAATTTAAAACCGGACCCTTTTCTGAAAACCGGTTTTCGGTTTTTCCGGTTTTCCGCCCACCAAAACCGGTGAAAAACCGGTTTTTCACCGTTTTTCCAGAATAATATTTTGTGCACTAGACGGGTAGAAAAATTGAGTCTATAGGTATCGGAGGTTTAAAAGCCCTAGCCTTAAAAACAATTGCCTAACTGAAAGATTCATGAAAAAGTCAAAATAATTCAAAAATTCATCTTCTCTAATTCTTTGAGGAAATATATCCTAAATTAATGGATTATCAATTAACGTAATATGAAGATGCAAATTAATTGTAAAAATGTAACAGAAGCCTTGTTTTATTCTAAAGATTATACGAAAGCATAATCTACTAGGATCTGTAATCCAGAAGAAAATACTACATTCGTAGGAAATGATATAAAAAAATAGACATCAGTCATCAATGTCATTTTTCAGATTTTAACCCAAGGTTGCAAGGTTGCGCATTTTTGATGATGCCTAGAACAACCTTACTGTAAAATTTGCGCTAGATTTCCTCCGGAGAAATTTTTATCGAATTATCGACAAGATAAACATTTTCTTAAATGTACAAGTCGGACCGCAGTTGCCCGCACATATATATATATATATACATATGTGAATGACTTTTCAAAATAGACATTCATACAATTTTCAATAAAAATTTAAAGCTGTTAAAATGCTAAAACTTCCTAGATTTTCCACGTGTAACCATACTTACGATGTTCGACGCTTATTCGAAAATATAATTTATGTAAATGGCAATTTGAAGTTTCGAGTGTTAATTTATGAATGAAATACGGAATCACTAAGAGCTTATAAAGTGGTTATTACAGTGGGATACGAACCCACGACCCCTCGTTAATAATTTATTTAGTTTTTCAAATTCATTGCTTTTCATTTTGATGATTCTTTTTGCAACTTTTTAAATTGCGTAAAATCCAAAGAACTAGCAAAATTCTGTTAAAAATTGTCAAATAGTTTTTCAAAATAGTTACAGGCCTTATTTTTAAGCATGAATGTTATCAATTCTGTTTAAAAAGCGTCAAAATCGAAAACTAAACGTTTTGACGTTGAAAAATTTTAAATTTTGGCGAAAATTCGGTTTTTAGAATTTGTAAAACCGGTTTTCGGTTTGACCGAAAACCGGGTTTTCTCCGGTTTTTCCGGTTTTGAAAAACCGGTGTTGAATCCCCTAGTCTGTTTCCGAGTTTGCGAGTTTGTCCCGAATCCGACCCACCGTTAAATACCCGGAGTATGAGATGCTATCCGAAGCTTTTTGAACCTTGAGTTCCGCCCGAGCCCGACAATTCTCCAGAGCCTCGCAGTTTTCCAAGTATTCCGCAACTTGATCCATCACGCCCAGATTTTCTTTCAAAGTGGAGGCAAATTCTTCAGAAATTTTTTGAATTTCGAGGAGCGTAGAATTCCTGACGAGTCGCATGTCGTGCAGCATATTGTCGGCAAGCCTGTTCGAAACAAATATATTCATTCATTTTCTTTAAAATTAATTTCTCTCGACTAAATTCTTACTTCGCCCAATACGTTAAACATAGAGTGAATAAAAAATGAATGGAGTGATTTTCAATGAAAAATTCCGTCATTTAATTTTAATGATAATTTATCATGACACGAAATGAAATTCATTTTCATTCATGACTACTCAAATGAATGAAGACGAACAGGTTAGATTTTCCACGAACTTTGTCATGTTTCGCATCGTGGCGTTATAGCTCTCGGACAACTCGCCACTTCTTTTCTTCGCGTCCTCCTCCACGGTCTCGAGCATGGTGTGGATGCTTTTCTCGAGTTTGGGGTAGCTGGAGGTGGAAAAAAGATGAGCCTTGTATGTGACCGCGTCCACGTCCATGATAGCAAACCGAGCTGTATTAACTGCGGAGAAAAAAAACGGGATTAGGGAACGTCCATATTTTACGTCATGATTTTACTAGGTGGCTGGTTCTGGTCATTCTCATGGTAAAATTCTCTATCCCTCAACGTATTCGTTGAGTGGGTTGCTAAAATCGGGAATTTTCTTTGACGTAATATATGGATGACCTTCTAGCTCGGGTCGTAGGGAACGTCCATGTATTACTTCATGGAAAAGTTGCGTGGATGGCGCGGATGTATCTTACTCGTGCTAAGCTTATTAATTATTTTACATAATTACTTACGAAGAGTCATGTTCAAAGCTGCGATAAAGTATGCCAATTTCACTTCGGTTACTTCGGCGGGAGCTAGGAAATTTATGAATATTGTGCATTAGTGCATTAATTATAAATTAAATATTTACATACATAGTTATTATACATATGTATTGATATTGTAGTGCACTCCTAAGAATAATGTTAAACTTATGAAAAGTAAATGCACTCTGGATTCTAAATTACAAATAACTAATCCAGAGTAACGTATTTCACTCTTAATAACCCGGTAAAGTCCCGCAGGTAATGATTTCTCGGTGATAAATTTAGTAATAATAGTTTACCACGTAGTAAAAATTCGTTACCATGATGTTAAAACTTTATTACCAAGCCATTACGACGTTACAACTTATCATTACCACTTTGGTAGAGTCATATATTTGTGCTTATCGGTAATGTTTATTACCAGATTATTTACAGTGTATGGATTTAGAATTCAAACTGCGGTTACTTTTCAGAATAGTATTATTTTTAAGATTGTACATAGCATTTAAAGGGCATCCCATATGTAAAGTGCAGATGGAAAAACCGCCCTCATTTTGTTGTAATTCAATTTTGTTCGAAGAAACTAAATTTACACAAAAGCTTAGGATCTGTATGTGTTAGTTTTATCGTTAAACCAATTTCCTATCCCATTGTAACTTAGAGATATTAGGTTCTTCCGAGCTCCGCCGAAGGGTCGTTTTCACGGTTTTTCCTAAATGTCCTTTGCGATTTTGCTCCAACCTTTCGAAATCTACGAACGATTGCAAACTTTTTCTCTCGTTTAGAACATTGTCTTCGACAATTGGCCCAGAAGTTCTCGATACCACGTGTTTGAGGTACATTATTAACGTTGTTTGGTTTTTGTGTATCGCATCCAATGTTTTCGGGGGAATGAATAACCAAGGTTTTCTTTTGAAACATTGTCTTTGGCTTTAGTCTATCTTCGCATTTTGCATCTACTGGAGTAGTTGCTTGAAAATATGTACGATCGGGAACATTATCAGGGTCAGTGGTCACTTAGATTTCATCATAAATAACCACGAGTTTGCTCAACCCTTTTTTGGAAATTTTTCTGCATGCTGTTTTAGCTTGATGGTGCTGGGTCCATACATTTTTCTTTGCCGATTGCTTTACACACTCTTTCATGCCTAAGACGTGAAGTTTAATTCGACGTATCGTTGAGTTCGATATGTTTTGTGTTGTGGATACGGCAATCATGGAATTGCGGGACGCTTCTTTAAGAACATCCTAATTTTCTCGACATTTCATTTCGTTGACTGGATAACCGCCTGACCTGATATTTTTTTGCAATTCATGTCACCGGCAAGCTCACATCTTGTAATTATTAGGTCGACAACGAATCTACGTTTTTCTTGCCTGGCGAAGTAATCAATCGTCTTTTTCTAATCACACCGATATGAATTTTCGTGCGAGTGAAAATCGACACTTCCAAATTTTTGGATTCCGGCTCGTGTAATGCATTGACAAGATTTTTTGATGAAATCTGAAATCAGTTGTCTTAATCTACATGACACTACCTAAAATATGACTTATCTCTGATCAATTTTTTTCCGCCCGTACCCTTAAAATCAATGGTTGACCGAGCTGCACCTTACTTTTGGGATGCCCTTTAAAGATATTTTTTCTGACCTGCTTGACCTCTCGAGGTCTGGGCGACGAGAAGAACGACAAAGGTTACGAGAAGCTTCATCTTGTTCTTGATAAAAATGTTTCCTTGTACGGAAGTCACTTTTTTATCATATTTACGATACGTGTTGCCTCTCGGAATGGTCGTGTTACACTGGTTTGTTGACGGGATACTTTCACATGCAGACAAACATAAATGCGACCCTTTTACAGGTAAAACCCCAGGACAGCTTTAAGGCTTCCTGGGACTCAGGCACAAAAATAATTTCTTAAGGATGATGTTTAGGGCCAATTTTTGGAATGAATGGAAAATGGATGTGTAATTCTGCGGAGAAACCTATCCGCCACATATTTGCCGATCCGTTTTCTATTCTCTACAAAAATGGGCCCTTAACAACATTTTTTTAGAAAATCACTATCCCCGGCACGGTTAAGCCCATGAAAATAAGCCCTTTTCACGGAAATGTTAAAGTATGAGGAGGTTGAAAAAGGATTAAAAATAAAAATATTTAACGTGGCCACGAACACTCTTCGGAATCGGGTTACGATTATAACCATAAAGCAAACGTATATAACTCTACCGCCGTGGTTATGAATTTGTCACCAGCTGGTTATAAATTTATCAACTCTGTTGACAATTTAATACCAAGTCGGTGACACTTTATAATGAGTCGGTGACAATTGTAACCACATTGACTTCCGCCCGAGCCCAACTCACCGGAGCCACGCAGTTTTCCAAGTCTTTCGCAACTTCATAAATTACGTGCAGACTTTCATTTAAACTGGAGGGAAATTCTTCCGAAATGTTACGAATTTCCAGAAGCGCCGTGTTCTTGACGAGGTGCGTGTCGTGCAGCACATCGTCGGTGAACCTGTTCACAACAAATATTTTCATTCAAAAGTCGGTCAGAATTTGTCCTTCAAAATTGCCGGTTCAAGATGTTCACCCACATTCAGTCATTTTTTTGCAAGTTCATTTATTTCATTAGACTTCATTATTCATATACATAATTCATATCATTTCATTAGACTTCATTATTCATATACATAATTCATATCATTTCATTAGACTTCATTATTCATATAATTCATATCATTTCATTAGACTTCATTATTCATATAATTCATATCATTTCATTAGACTTCATTATTCATATGATTCATATCATTTCATTAGACTTCACTTCACACGGTATGCATAGGGTGAAAAATGAATGGAGTGATAAATCCTTTCAGTCATTTGAAATGACAAGATGGTTCATTTATTATAATTCAAACGACAGGAAATTCATTGTTGTTCAGTTTCATGCAATATCATGATCACCCAAATGAATGAAGGTGAGCAGGTAAATACATACGATTGTTACGAACTTGGTCAAATTTTGCATCATGGCGTTATAGCTGTCCGACAAGGAGCCATGTCTCTTCTTCGCGTCTTCCTGCACGGCTGCGAGCAATTTGTGGACGAGTTTGGCGGAGGAATAGGTGGACAAACGAAACAAAAAATCGAAACTTTCTGCGGCAGAGGTCACCTCCTTGACCGCCTTTGTGGCAGCATTAACTGCGGAGCAAAAATGGGATTAAGGGAACCATCATATATTACGTCGTCGAAAATGTGGGTGGTTTTGGTAAGCTTATTTAACATGAGAAGGATACACTCTTAGAAATGGGGTTACAATTATAACCAAAAAGTAAACATATGTATGTATATGACTCTACCACCGTGGTTATGAATTTGTCACCAACTAGTTATAAATTTATTAGCTCTGATGATAATTGAATACCAAGTCGGTAAAACTTTATAATTAGTCGGTGACAATTGTAACCACTCGATGACAAATTTATAACCACGGCATTAGTGTCACCTATTTACGTTTACATACTTTTAGGTTATAATCGTAACCCCATTTCTAAGAGTGTATGTAAGGGGTGCGTGATGTTAAAATTAGAGTTTTTTGATGACCTAATATACATAGGTACGTATGGGCATTCCCAAAAATTTAACCTTTTTTTAAAAAAATAAATTTCTTTACATAATTACATATTTACATACCCAGGGTCGTGTTTAATTCTGCGATGAAGTCTTCCACCTTCACGTTAGGCATGGCGACTGTGAAAAGTATGAAAATTATGATTCATTAAGTATGAGTTACGTAATTACATACACTGTAAATAATCTGGTAATAAACATTACCGAAAAGCACAAGTATTTGACACTACCAAAGTGGTAGTGATAAGATGTACCGCAAGGCAATGGCTTGGGAACAAAGTTTTACCATCATGGTAACGAATTTTTACTACCTGGTAAAATATTATTCCCAAATTGATTACCAAGAAATCATTACCTGCCTGACTTTACCGGATTATTAAGAGTATTTAATCTTCTCATGCCCTCTTAAAAAATAATGTTACCCTTTTGAGCCATAAAAAATTTTCTCTAGATTCTAAATTGAGTAAAACATTCTAAATCCAGAGTAACGTTAAGTTGATAAAGAGAAAAGTTTAGATAACTACTCAAACGGGTAACATTATTTAATTTTAAAAGATATTCATTCCTGACCTGCCTGACATCCCGGGAGCGGGTGAAATTGGGCGGCTAGGAAAATCCCCAATGTAACGAGGAGCTTCATCTCGTCTGCGAAAATGTACGGAATTTGGTGGATCGTTTACTAGTTGTTTCCCCGCTTGGTTGTGCTAAACTGGTTGAATGACAGTGTATGTATGAAGCTAAAAATATGACCGATTTGCTGCCTAACTGCCTAGCCAAAAGAAGGCAAAAGAAGTATGTATGAAAAGGTCGAAAATTCAAGGTTCAAAGTAAAAATAACCTGGCCACGCAGGGTTGTTTTCAAATATCGAGACTACTGAATGGGGCTGCATTTCCAACCTTTCCATTTACACTGTAAAAAATCCGGTAATAAATTCTTAATACTGGATATTACCGCCTGTGTGGTAAGATTAGGTATTACCAGCAGCGGTGCAGTAGTATGGTAACGCTCTATTACCATATCTTCCACCAAGTGCCGCCTGGTAACTTGAGAGTCTTATTTTGTGCACCACCGCGGCAAGGCAGTATTTAATATCATGCCAAAATAGGGATGTTGCTGCGTAGTAATGGTAGTATATACCAGCACGGTAGTCATATGTATATGTTTACCGCGTGGTAATAAAATTTCTTAGAGTTTATGTATCAAACCAGTCGCAGCATTGGCATATTTTAACCAGCATGAAACAACACCAATATATTTTCACGGGATATTCATTGGCATTTATTATTCTTGAATATTTACAGCCAAATTATTACTTGCTTATGATATTTTGCTTTCCACTCTTAACGTGACAAAATTGTAAGTGTGGAAAATGTTTAAAAATCTTAACCTTAAAAGTAAAATTTCTTTACTGGTATTGATCTTTAAGTGTTTTCAGCTCCTTTGTAAACAGTCAGTTTTCGAATTTGTTTTTGTTTAAGAATTGATACTTAAATACGGAATAATGGAGACCGTGAAGTGATTAAGCGTATATCTTAGGCATGCAATTAACGCGTCTCATAAATATCGATGAAACGTCTCATAAAAACTATATGAAATGTCTACATAAAAATGTCTCCTAATATTATTTTGCTAGTCTCATATAAATTTATAACTAACTCTTAAAAAGTTTGATAAAAAACAGCTTTTATTTCATATTTTTATCTGATTTTCTCTGATTTTATCAGATTAGGTCCGAAAACTGTCCGAAATTCGTTAGTGATTGATTCTGCTGCATCTGCTATTAGAATTCTGGGAGAATAATTACGTATGGCTTGTGGATACAAATACTCCAAACCACTCAAAATTTTTTTCGAGGTCAAACTCGGAATTAATTACGTATGGCTCATCCATGCTCCGTATTTGTTAGCCTCTGCTTGTTGACCTCCTAATGATATTATTTTCTGCCCTTCCATTTTGCGCATTGATGCCAAATAGCTTACAACTTGAGACTTTTTTTACAATTAAATCCTCTGCCGTTGTCCCATAGGGATTCAGAAGGACGTTTTGAATCCCTATGAGTTGTCAGATTCAACCAGAAGTACTTGGGACGTCATTTTAATTAAAACATTTAAAAATGCGAGGAAAACTAGTAATATCTCGGTACAAACCATGAGTATTTTGTGTGTATCGTGTGATTGGCCTGCAATCAGGCATCGTATATGGCACTTTAAAAAAGGAAAAAGATAAGAAATGGTTTAGAAAGAATTATCCAATTATGAGACGAATGTAAATACTAATGAGACATTTTTTTGTATTAAGAGACGTTTTCCATGTAGGCAACTCGAATATTATTTATGAGACAGTTTACCTATATTTAAGAGTCGGTAAAATTTAATGCCTTAACGTAATAGCCAGCTTTGCTTAAGCTGCGAAACATATTTTATGAACTTTCCCTTCGCTTAAATGATCAGTTTTTGAATGAAATAAAGGTTTCATGAAATTTCTCGACTCTGAAATAAAGTTTTGATACGGTCCGCTCGATTTAAGTGCACACATGTATCCGAGATGGGTCAAATTTCAGTTACCAGTTTTCACAATTAATCTGAATATGCACTAACTAGAGTTGTTAAAAAAATATTTCTTCATACAAGATTAATTTAATTTAAAAATTTCAGAAACAAATATCAATTCATTATTCATTCAATCAACATTTATGTCAGGGTATTCCGACCTGGGTTTTACTGGGTTGGTTTTATTGGGTTTTATTGGGTTTTAATGGGTTGTAAATGAATAAAACCCACTGGGTTTTACCATGTTAAGTGGGTTTTATTAGGGTTTTAATGGGTTTTATTGGGTTTTAATTGAGTTTTACCTTAGAACTACATTCTAAAAGTTAAACACATCTCCTATACGTTAGAAGACGCTATCTCAATTCACTAAAGCAGTTTTTTTCATTACTATTCTAATAGATGAAAATCTGGAACACATCAACAATTGATTCCATCCTTTAGCATCACAGATTTGAAGTGTTATAAAACATAAATAATTTCTGAATAAATACAAATTCCGAATTATTTTTGTTAAGTTTATTACTTAAAACTAATAAAACCCATTTAAACCCTGTAAAACCCATTAAAACCCATTAAAACCCAAATAAAACCCAATTAACATGGTAAAACCAATTAAAACCCATGGGTTTTATAATTTTTGATTAAAACCCTGGGTTTTTCCGAACCCTGATTTATGTATAAATATATCAGGTATTTATTACGGTGAGCACATAGCGTGTGACTACATAAATCCCTGACAAATTTAGTGAGGTATAGTAAAGTGATGCAAAGTTCCGTGGGTCTAATTGTAAGTTTGGTCGCATCTTACGACAAATGAATAAGAAAACCGATCGTATTTAAATTTGCCAGCATTTTTGTCATATCTACGTTGTGTGCCCACCGAAATAATTTTGACCTACCTCTAAATCCCATTATCAAATATGACTATAAATATGTAAATAGTTTCTAAATTGATCGTAAAATCTCTATTTACAGCTGTCTTCTAATTACAGACCGTCGTCTCCAAATATATGTAGCTGGGTCTAGAGACCAAGATTTCGAAATTTTAGCCGGGTGTGTGTAACTCAATTTTACATTTTAGCCCCGGTAATAAGAAGTCGAGTATTTACGGTGTATGTAAATATTTGGACAAGTGTTTTAAAACTGAAATGAGTTTGGCTGGTGGATTGTCAAATTGTAGAATTTTTCAAAATAATTGCAATTCCCGCGTTACGTTAAATGACGTCAAAGCTTAGAATTTTTTCAATGTAAATAATTGCAGGGTTAAACTTTATGGAAGTGCAGCTCAAACACTTGCCCGGTTTCGAATTTATTGACGATGGATACTTTTCGAGAAAACATTAATTTTTTAAGTTAAGTTGTTAGAAATCCCGGTCGGGAAGGCTTAGATAAGTTGGGGTGTCTTGCGAATCTTCATTTCGGCAGTTTTCAAGGAATAATCCTCACCCTTCCAAGGGAACCACATCACTCCAATCCAACCTTTTTCCAGGGTGCTCGAATTATGATATATCGAGTTCAGATCGGCCTATGAAGAATACAAGTAAATTCTGCTCAAGAAACTGGCACTGGTTTAATGGATAGTGATGAATTTACGCACAAAAGCGCAAGTCTTATACCACCAGCCACCGCGGTGCTGCTGGGCACAATTAATGTGTCCGTATCCATCGTTGTCATTGTCAGTTGTACTGAACTGGTAGCCATTATGATAATCTACGGCATCGCCTGCAAAATACAGAATGTAAGTAAGACGTAACTAATGTATGTATATGGGAAGGATGTGTTCGGGTTTGTGTACATAATTTTATATGTACATATATGCAGGCGAATAATTATCTGACCAGCCTAGAAAAGATTCCCATTTTTGACACCTTCTCATATTTTGAGCACCTAAATTGGCTACAGAATGTTTTGGACCCCAGAAGGAGGGGTCACACCAATAAATGATGACATATTTCGTTGCCCAATTATTTTAATCCATTACTAATTATTATTAATCTATTATTAATTCATATTTTATGGCATCTATTTAAGATTTTTGCACGCTTTCTTGCTGGAGCACTAAATCTTCAGTACGTTCTTTTGTTATAATGACCAGAAACGTTTAGCCCATAAAAATATACACTCTAAGAAATTCGGTAACTAAGTTATTACCAGGCGGAGTATATATGTGACTCTACTGCATGGTAATTAATTTACTATTGGATGGTATAAAATTAGTTACCAACTGGTAATGTTTTCAAATTTCGCCACCGGGATTATTACCGGTTTGGTAACAAAATGTCAACCACTTAATAATAAATAAATTACGATGCGGTAGAGTCACATAGATACTCCGCCTGGTAATAACTTAGTTACCGGATTTCTTAGAGTGTACGACTGAAAACTCAAGTAACGAAGGGGTGAAATCCGTGTGTGCTAATTAAAAATAATTTATCAAAAAAATTGCTCGAATTTCCAAAAACACTCGATGCGAGCTGTAGAGAAACAAAATATGAATCTGATCTTGTTCTCCAACCGTTTAGTTTTATGTTGGTGGTGATTAACTTCACTGTCATAGCAACCCGACATGGTTACATATGTCCCGTCACGCTGGCCCTTCTGAAATTGGGTCAGCGGGCACCTGCAATTTTAATAACCCAGGAACACCTCATATCAAGCCGTATATGGGACCTGCTGACAAATTTTCGAAAAGGGCAGGCCACAATTCCTCGGCAAACATTACTACTGGTATTGAACCTTCTTCTCTTTGGTATGCAAATCCAGAATTTTTGAATATTCTACGAGCAGAAAATCAATCACCTGCCGTTCCAGTGTACCCAGCAACTTTTAGTCTGTACTTATCTTGGGTACCCGCGACTTGGAAGACGTTATACATCGCGTACTTCTTCTCTCCAGCCCAGTCTTTTAGATCCACCAGCAACTGTGTATATCCCTCCTCTGTGAGGTCGTGGATAGTTTTCAAGCCTGGTTTACGATTAAACACGAATTTGAATAATTTTACACAATTTGCATAATTAAATTGGTGTAACCTAGCCAAAAATCCCCTTCAAGGCTGCCAAACCCATTCTCGTAGTCAATCCAACTTCTTTCGAAATTGGTCCTGTCCATCCCTGGAGGGGTTGGGGTTCCTCTTCGCTGAATTATGATCCACTCCTTGTCGCAGGTTAACTATTTGCAAAGATGTTTGTTGGAAAATATTCACTAACCTCGCAAGTACATAGCATACAAAACAAAAATTCAACACAAGTACAAGATATAATCAATAAATTACTTGTTGATTCCGAAATATTGAATTAGTAAGGCTGCTGTCATTGCCGCAGGACTTCACTGGTTCCTTGTAAAAGTCCGACAAAGTCTGGCAAATGTTTGTATCATAAAGTGTTATATTTCTTGAAATTGAACAACTTCAGCTAGCTGTTGTTAAGGTCGTTGCCCTCTTAAGTACATTGTTGATATGGTACTTCAAACTTTCAACCTCCGTCAAGATGGTAACTACCCCTTCAGATAAGTTGGAACTTGTGTTCCTTATCTCCTCCAAAGTTGTGATCTGGTCCCTTTGAAGGGTTAAAAGTTGCTCCATAAATTTGCAGCTCTCGTTAAATGAAGACTGGAAAATATGAACAGCCATCACTTACTGCGTTGAAGTTTCACTACGCAAAAACTACTAGTACATCAAATTAAAATTCAGATTTGCAAATCAGATGCTCTAAAATTTAAGCGATAGCAATATAATTGTTTCCAGTATTAGACTATGTTTCTAGATCTAAGGTCGATTAACATAAACTGGAATAAATTTTATTAAATACAAAATTACGGCCACCTTTCGAACTTCGCATGCTAGTATGTGCGACCGGTAATCAGCTTCGTCTGGAACCTGAAATATTGAAGAGTTATTTGCAATTAAACTTCTGGGGACCCCAATTAGATACAAACTTGTAACTTCTTCTAGTTGCAAGAGTTACAAATATCCATTTAAGTCACACCCAAATATGTCGTCATAAAAACACCGAATTTCACGCCCGCACATTCCCTTAATCGTACCGAGTTTAACAATAGCAGAATAGTTAACATCGTGATACTAAAGCGACAATGTACATGTCCGACATGTTTCGCACGGACCTTCTTGAAACCAGCACTAAAATATCAAAGAACTAAACACAAACAACAATTGGTGTGACACTTGAGCACTTCTGTCGAATTTGCAAAATGGCGAAGGTTTTAAGTTGGCAAAAAATCTTATTTTCACCATGCAAAACTATTCGGAGTTCACCTCTCCACTATCCATTCTGCGCTTCTTTTCACCAGGTCATCAGTTTTCACCTTTCCTGCAAAACTTAATTTGTTAATTTCCCAACCAACTTCTCATTAGGTTTTTTATCTTTGGCTTTTAAACAATTTTTTAACACTTTCTAATATCTGAAATGAATTTAACTAACTCCTTATCAGTGGAAATTATTTTCAAAACTGCATTAGAACAGTGGATTCAATTTTTAAAATTTCTTTCTTTCACGTATCCTCTATTCTCAACCAATTTAAAATTTAAAAAAATAATTTCCACTTGTCGTCACAGAGTCACAGATGAAAAATCGGGCTAGAACTTGGTTGGGAAATTAATAAAATCAATTTTGAAAGAAAGACGGAAACCGATGACCTTATGAAGAGAAGTGCAGGAAAAAATCGGAAAGCGGAAAGGTTAACTCCATATAAGTAGTTTCGCATGGTGAAAATACGATTTTTTGCCTCCTTAAAACCTTCGCCATTTTGCGAATTCTGCAGAAGTGCTCAAGTGTCACACTAATTGTTGTTTGTGCCTAGTTCTTTGCTATCATAGTGCTGGTTTCAAGAAGATCCGTGCGAAACATGGCTGATACATGCATTTTGAGTATTAATGTGAATTAACAATTTACGCACGTCCATTGATCTCCGGCCTCTATGGTTTTTAGTTTCGTCCTTGTGATTGCTGCCTTCCTCCTTGCCGGACCTGACCAGATTTTTAATCTGAATTTTCAGACTTTCTAAATGCTGGGTAAATCTAGCCTCCATAGCGGCAAGGTCATCCTTCGTAGGCATGTTTGACAACTGTACGGTTAACTGGGTAACGAACGAAATTATGTTATCTTGAGTAAAAAAAATTTGAAATTTAAATTTAAAATTTGAAATCGAAAATTATAAATAAATTCTCACGCGTTCCAAAATATTATTAACGTTGCTTCGAAACAGTTCTTCCCCACTAGGAACCGCTCCTTCCACCTGAAACAATGAAACACGTGTCCAGTCAAAACGGTGAGCACGGAAGGGTTGTGTTAATGCGCATGCGACTTGATAAAATTTTGCGATCGTAATTAATAAATAAAATGAAGCTGGAAAACCGAATATGGTTTTGAATTTTAATATATAATTCGCCTATTTGTGTTTTTTTTACTTAAAAAATTCATGAAATAAATCTTATTTTATTCGTTATTTATTCAACTCACCAGGTTACACGATTTTAGCCAACCTCCTAAAAATATTAGGAGGATAAAATACGACGCAGACTCCATCATTGAGAAATTAGTAATGTCCAACTGGAAAAAATTTATCTCGTATTTATGGCTTACTTAATTGACAAAGGCTGGTTTAAGTCTTACTTGGAAATGTTGTGTAGATCCGGTCTGCTTGGAAATTAATCCTTGCACACTAAATAATCATACCTTACTTTAATAATAATTTTTATTGACAGCATAATATGTTCGTATTCAGATCTGGCGTAAATAAATATCTCTGAACATAGCAGTTTACTCTAATATTTAGATTATGAAATCGCGTATATTATTACATTGTAAATATTCTGGTAATGAACTAATTACCGAAAAGCACAAGTATATAATTCTACCAAAGTGGTAATGATAACTTATACCGTGTGGTAATGGCTTGGTGATAAAGTTTTACCGAGCGATTGGTAGCGAATTTTGGTAGCGAATTTTTACTACCTGGTAAAATATAATTACCAAATTTATTAACGAGAAATCATTACCCGCGTGACTTTACCGGATTATTAAGAGTGTTGGTATGTATGCATGCCTCAGAGAAGTATTTCGAGTGGTGCGTCACTCGAGTTGACCAGTTGTGCATGGAATCGTATCCCGTGTAGAAAGATAAATCTTATTACTTCTCCGCATAAATATGTATGAACAAGGTCACTGCAAAATGTATACTGACAATGGAGGTCTCCCAACGTATGCTCACAGATTTGGACCAAACTAGCGTCACTCGCTCATAAATATAATTAGTATGAAATTAGCAAATGGTAGTATGTGCCAATGCTCAAATTTAGCTTAGATATTTGCGTAAAAAGAGGAGAAAACGCACCCTCAAGGCTAGCAAATTCTTTATTTCCCAAATTTACTGCGCATTTTTCCCACTTTGGATGCAAATATCTCCGCCAAACCTGCGCATTGGCAGACAGTTACATTTGCAAATTTCATACTAATTATATTTGCGATCGATTGACGCTAGTTTGGTCCAAATCTGTGAGCATACGTTGGGAGTGTCTGATTGATTGACGTTTTTATTAAGTTGATAAATGCATAAGTTGATACATAAATCAAAGTTCTTGGTAATATAATAAATATGCTGGAATACAGGCTAAGGTATGTACCTTATGCACTTTTAATGCAAATGACTAATTTCTCTTATGACTTATGTAACTTTACGTCCAATTCATTCCAGAATTTTTTGTTGATAAACATGTGCAGAATATTTTTGCATGTAAGATTAACATATTTATATGAATGCTTATATAGAAATAAATATGAAATAAAAATTTATGAAATAAATCCTCATTATTATTATAAGTAAATTACTTTAATGTACATATTTATACCACTTGGGTAGGGTCATATATGTATGAATACCGATTGGTACTATTGTAATACCGTATTTCTAAGAATCATACCAAGCATCATACCAAAGTTTATATAACGCGTTTGAACGTTCATTTTCGTTCATATTCAATATTTAGAAATTATTAAGGTTGAGGCACCATGTCGTCAGAAAACAAAGGTGGGGCTGGAGGTGGAGGAGGCGATCAAAAGGAGCGGAAGAGAAAGGAGTCGATCGTTGACTTGGCGAAATATTTGGAGAAGAACGTGCGAGTCAAGTTCGCCGGGGGGAGAGAAGCCGCCGGAGTGCTGAAGGGTTTCGACCCCCTACTCAACCTCGTGCTAGACGACACCGTGGAATTCCTTAGGGATCCGGACGACCCCATGAAATTAACCGAGGACAGGAGATCTTTAGGGTTGGTCGTGTGCCGTGGGACTTCTGTCGTCCTAATATGTCCTTCCGAAGGGATGGAACAAATAACAAATCCCTTTGTACAAGAAAACGCTTAAGGGATCTCTTTAATGTGACTACCACTTGTTTATTTATACCCGTATTTTTAATACGTAAAGTATAAATAATTATTAATTTATATAGAATTTCTTGTTTTCTATTTCCCATTTATCCTTAAATGAATAAATGGGTGATCATATCATAGTGATAATGATTGATGATGACCTATTAAGATATAGGTAGTAAGAAACTGAAGTGATGATGGTATGAGTTACATGATTTTTGTTAATCTACATTTACTTATAAACAGTGGAGAAGCTTGTAATAATAAATTCAGAGTTTATATGATACATTAACTTATTTCTAAGAGAGTATTAGTAAAGCAAGTAAAGTGTATATTAGATACATACTTACTCAATGGAAATACATATTTATTTAACTTTTGCGAAATTATTTTTCATTGGGCGAGATGTCCATCCCAAAAATTTGCCAGTGTACATAATGTCTTACTAAAATGTGCATTTTTTTAAATAAAGACGTCACCTGTGTTTGGCACATGAGTTTTTTTTTCGCTGGTAACAAATCCTCTTTTTAATCAGACTCAAGAATAGAACTAAGGATAAATACAGGGTGGTTTATGTAAATGTCAGGTTACTATGAAAAATTTGCCAATGGGGAAAATTTGCAAATCTCCATTAGTTACCGAAATGTTGCCTGTGAAATTCAATATTTTAAGAATTTTGTCATCAGGATTTTGTCATTTTTTTATAAAAATTAATAAAAATCTCAATTTCAAATCCGTAACCACTGGAAATTTACGAATTTTTTTAATTGAAAAAGTTTCCATTTTAACCTGACATTTATACATATGTACCACCCTGTATATTTAGTACCCCGAGGAGGTTATTTATCTGAACGTTATTTATAGTGTTATCTAAAATGTGATAAGAAATTTAAAAAAATGATAATCTAAAAAGATTGATATGCTGAAGAGAAATAAAAAGTACTTACATATGTAAAAACAATAATGTGCCAAATGACACAACCTAAAAATCTGAACAGGATGTGAAGAACATTAAGACTATTTTATTTTTTATTAAAACAAAGCGTAGGTCTTTTAATAAAGAATTAATTAATGCCTTGATAGATATTTAATTGCTACATAGTTTGATTTCAGTTGTTGCGCAAGGATGACGTATGAAATTTATAATTGAAAATGAAATTTTTTGGTAAATCTGGAAAAAGCTTGTAAATTAAATGGATTAGGATTTTGCGACTCCTCGATTATTACCCAGGCAGGTTAGGTTGGCAATTCTGGAAATATAAATTTAATTAACAATGTGGCGTAATGAATATTTTGCATTTATATACATATGTATATCCTGAATGACGACAACTGGGAAATTTTTAGCATGTCAATTCTCAACATAGTTTTCCAAGTTTGCTAAAATTTGTCAAAATTTTGTGCTGGAATTTTTTTGTTAAAAGCGATTCGCTCGACATGTTTAATCAGCATGCTTGTTTCGTTAAGTTACCTACTACTGCCATAAGTTTTGACCACTAAACAAATTAATGTAGCGGACTCAGTTTAGTGAATTTTAAAAAACGAACGATATCATGAGAAAGCCTATTAAATTCCCTACAAAATATACCGGGCACTTTCCAAAATTTCCTCCTTTCGAAGCTACAATAGCCCAAAGTCTAGATATCCACATCTCACTCGCGGTACGCACTCATTCCAAGGAATATTAGTCTCATTTCTAAGCGACAGATTTTTTCTCGGATTCCAAACTTGTGTGGTGTTTAGCACATGTATCTAGCTTCAGTTTGGACCACATATCGTATTCCAGAAGGTTGAGGTTCGGCGACAGTGCATTTTATTCTTGATCCGAAATGGAGTAAGAAATTTTGGAATTTTACCCCATTTTTACTATTTTGGCCTTATCAGCAGGTCCTGAGCCCTGCTCGAATACTTAGCAGCTATTTTTTAATAGAGTGTGGTCCAGTGGTTCTTCCATTCGCTCGATAACTTCAAAAAATACTTTTTGACAAGAAATTTCACCCCCAGAGGAAGACAATTCACTTTTTTGACCAAATCCAATCTACGCCGAATAAAAAAATCACAGAATCTGGATAGTGGGTCCGACTAATATTTTAAAAAAATTTATGAATAATATGGACTGGTGGGGTGTGGACAAAGTGCTTTTGCTAATTTTATATGACCTCTATTGTGAAAGTTTACTTATCTTTGAAAAATATTTATTTCCATTTTTCAAGCGCGTACCGCATGATCAGTGCGCGGCTTTCAAGGGTCCTATTTTTACTTGGCGTGAAGTTAGCAAGTGTTTCTTTTCACATCTTAAAAACATAAGTCCAAGGTCGAGTTTAGGGGCCTGGGACGTAGTTTTACTTGGACCGTTCATTTGTAGGGACATTTTTCTTAGGATCCGGCGTGAATTCAGCCGAGTTCAGGTTTTGTGCGCCTTCGTGATTTTGTGTGACCTTTTTGACCGTTCCCTTCAACTCGGTTTTCGGTTATCAACACTGCCAATGTTAGTGGATCATTTTATGGTATGGTCGACCATCTTGCAATTAGTTCCGATTTTTAATGATCTATTGAAAAATGCCGAATTTTTATGTTTGCAAAAATGTTTCTGAAAAATTGCAACACGTCGATTTGTCCGATCTGTCATTTTAGCACCTTGTATCACAAAAAATTTCGGAAGATGGTTTCTGATAGACAATTGCATGGGGAATTCAATAAAAAATAGTACAACTGGCTAAAGTAACTGCTACTGATGTTTTTTGCGCGTGGAATGCTTGAGACAGAATATATGGCAGTAGTAGGTATTTCGCATATGATATTTTCCATTGAGCAGAGTCACGCCGACAACTGCTAAATTTTTAGCATGCCAATATAATTTGCCAATTCTTGCAACCATTTCGCACAACTTTGGTCTGAGATTTTTGTGTAATAGGCAGGGATTGTCAAATTGCATTTTTTTTCTAAATACACCTCAGAGCCCAAAATACATTTGTGTTTTCAAAATACTTCGGTAATTTGTTGTCAAAATACATTTGTATTTTCAAAATACTTTTATTATTATTTGCAAAATACAAAATACAGTATTTAAATACTTTTTGAAATACAAATGCTGCACGTTTTATACATTTAGTAGATCCAAATAATTTATCATGCTTCTTTACATTAGTTAATCTGATTTACTAATTTTAAAAAACAAGGTAAGCAAAATTATATAAATTGCCTAGAACAAAGGAGGAGCCCTATCTTAAATACATGAGACGAATGAATGAATGAATAATGAATGAATAATTCACATTTATTTTCGAAAGGAATGAATTTTGGAAGCAGGAAAAAAATTTGAATAGGTTTGTTTCTAAGAGTGTACATCCTCCAAACTTTCAAACTGATTGTCCACCTCACTCGCTTTAATCGCTACTAATCTCCCGTCTGTTTCAGATCTTGCAAATTTATCCCGAATCTGTCCTACCACTTGATACGCCGCGAATGACATGCTATCCTCCGCTTGTTGCACCTTGACTTCCGCGCGTGCGCGACAATTCACCGGTGCTCGACAATTTTCCAAATCCTTCGCGATTTGATCAATCACGCCCAAACTTTCCTTCACATTGGAGACAAAATCTTCCGAAATTTTGTGAATCTCGAGGAATGTCGTGTTCTTGACGAGTTGAATTTCGTTCAGCAAATTGTCTACGAACCTGTTCAAAATAAATATTTCTCATTCATTCAAAAGTCAGTCATCACGATTTCTGAGTAAAGATATTAATTCACATTTAGTCATTTTCTTTGAAATTCATTTCGTTTCGTTTCACTTCACTTCATTCTTTCTTCGCCCCATAAATTCATACGGTAAGCATCGTGAGAAAAATGAATGGAGTGAAAAATATTTTCATTCATGTCATTCATTTGAAAATTATTCATTTACTATCATTCAAATGACAGGAAATTTATTTTTATTCGCTGCTGTTATAATCACACAAATGAATGAAGGTGAACAGGTATGTATGTATGGTTGTCGACGAACTTACATTGTCATGTTTTGCATCGTGGCGTTATAGCTGTCCTCACCGCCAAATTTATTCTTCCCTTCCTCTTTAATAGTGTCGAGCAAGGCATGCGTGCCCGTCTGGAGGTTGGAGAAGAAGAGGTTGGACACAAATTCGGCATTACGTACGCCACTGGTTACTTCCATGATGGAATTCTGAACCGCTATTTCTGCGGAACAAAAAACGAAATTGTAAACTAACAATGCGCATGGCAGGCATTTTTCTCGCAGATCTTCTTAAAAACCATGGCTAATCGTAAGAAATCAAAGAATTTAGGGGCCGTCCATAAGTTATGTAACGCGATAGGGTGCGGGGGTCTATGTAGGGATATCGTGTCTATGTTCCGTAAATTAATTTAATGTGGCCAGTTTTCCAGAATTCGCGGATTTACATATGTAAAAAGATTTTAACTTGATGAAATAGGCACATTTCAACAATGGAGATATTAATTTTGTAAACTTTCACATTTTTCCATTTTTTCCAAATTAAAACTTTGTTAAATCCGTCAATTTGGCAAAAGTTCGAAAGTATATACCACACTAAATTGCTATTGTTTGTGTGGAATTAGGTGACCTCTTAGTCTTGGTTTTAAGAATATCTGAGAGAAACATGTCTAACATGGGCTTTCTTAATTTGTCCCCAAGATCCAGCTCGGTCTAGGAAAAATTAATTCTTTTACTTACCCAGAGTCTTGTTCAATCCTGCAATAAAGTCGGCAGTTGTCTCCTCAACCTCCGCGGCCTCTGAGAAATCTGTGACACCTGTGAAATTCACAGTGTGAATTATGTAAACCTTGATCGAGTCGTGTACTCTTAAAAGTAATGTAAACATTTTGAAACGTGTAAAGACATTGTACTCTGAATTTTTATTAAGTAAACTATACCACACAAATCCAGGGAAACGTTAACTAGACAAAGAGTAAGGGAACATCCATATATTTCGTCATCAACGTGGTTAAAAGTCGCAAATTTTACGTATCATGAGTGGGACAGGGAACGGGTGGTCTAAACATGTGCGTTTTTTGATAACATTATACATAAGATATTTTGATAACATAATAAACAAATAAATATTTACATAATAAATAATTATATATATGGACCTTCCCCCAATTTTACTCTGAATTTAGTATACATAGTTTACTTCAAATAGAATTCATAGCGCATTTGCTTTTCAAATTGGTCACATTATTTTTAAGAGTGAAATATATTTGTGTGCACTCCTGACCTGCTTGGCATCTCGGGACGAGGTGAAATTGGGCGACGAGGAGTAAGGCCAATGTTACGAGGAGCTTCATCTCATGGAGAAAATGTTTCCTTGGTTTCACGGAATTTGGTGGGATTCGTATTTTTGTCAAAAACCTCAAAAATTTTAAATTGGTTAAAAATATTAATTGGTTGCTATCAGGTGTAATTATGAATTTTATTAAAAAATCAATAGTACGGAAGAACTTAATACTTACGCACAATGAACCAAGCAAGTCACGCAGTGCTTTTGGCAGCGGTACCACTTCGACTGACGGTAAAGGTTAATAATGTTATCGCCTTTTATAAATAATTTGGCAGTCTCCACAATATTAAAAATAATTTAGCCCTTTTTAGAAATGAATGTACTCTGAATTCTGTATTAAGTACCCTTCCAGAGTGACGTTAAGTTAGTGAAGAGTAAAGTTTACTCTGGGTTTATTATAGTTTAAGAGGCCATGAATATATTACGTCGTCAAAAATTCTCGATTTGAGTACCCACCCACCATTAAGGGATAGTTAATTTTAACACAGGAAGATAGGAAAACCTAAACTACCCATTTCATAAAAAGATAACGTAATACATAGACGTTCCCTTACTTAAGATGGAACTCGGAATGGATTCACTTTTCGAAAGGGGACGGCGTGGGTCGTAAAATGTTGTATTGTTGCCTTTTGAAGTTGCTACTTATGTATTATCATTGTTGCTACTCTGTTTAATTGACAGTTGACCCTGTACTTTCCAAGATATATTTAGATCAGGGTTTTCCAAACAAAAATAAGGAGATATGTAAGTATCTATGTATATACATACATACGTGTAAGTACAGTTCTTTTAAAATATTGCGACGACTGAATGGAGCCTCATTTCCAACTTTTCAATTCACAGGATCACTTACGTTGAAGTAAGTTCTACCCAAAACAATCTGTCACTTGTCTGTTCTTTCAGCATGATTCCTCCTGCATGAAAGGCTTTCACTGTGCACATAAGTACGTATAGAATATATATTTTTCAAAATTTTTTGCGAACGTTTGTATGTAACTGAATTAGTTCTGAAATAAATTCCTGAAACTGAAATAAATTCCTGCATTGTGTGTGAACAAATATACATACATACATATATATTTCAACGTTTGTCATACATATGCATATGTATATAAAAGTATAAATATTAGTACCCGATTAATAATTTCAACATGGACTAATTAATTCCATTACTTATTTATAAATTCTACTACACTCTAAGAAATGGGATTACGATTATCACCAAAAAGTAAACGTATGTGACTCTACCGCAGTGGTAATAAATTTGTCATCGACTGGTTGGTTACAATTGTCACCGACTAACTATAAGGTTTCACCGACTTGGTATTAAATTGATACCATAGCTAATAAATTTATTACCCGATGGTGACAAATTAATAACTACGGTGGTAGAGTCATAAACGTTTACATTATTGTAATAATCGTAACCCTATTTCTAACCTGACATTTAAACCACCCTGTACATATGTAAACGTAAAAATATTAGTACTCAATTATGCAGTAATTTTAACATGGACTAATTAATTCCATTCCTTATAAATTGTACTATTTGTGGTATTTAAAATCGAAATAACACCTGTCGTTGGAAATTATGATGTTCAAATTGACGTCAAAATTAACCTAATTGAATATATTTTTCGAATTAAGTAAACATTCTAGAATAAAATGTTTTGTTACTGGTGATGTAATATTCATTTTTAATCTGTGAGTTTACACAGCTGGTGCTTTAAATTTGAATTAAACCAAGCCAGCTATCCAACTACTAAGGACATATCATATTTAATAGAACTATATTTCCATGCACAAATGACTATATAGAACATCTGGTTAAATAATATTACAACTGGTACAGCAAACCACTCTTAAAAATAATGTTAACATTTCCAAAAGTCTATAAACGCACTTTTAATTCCAAATTTAGTAAACTAAACTAAATCCAGAGTTATGTTGACCTGATAAAGAGCAAAGTTTACTTTGGATTAAGTTTACTTTATTTACAATTCAGAGTATATTCAGAGACACGCGTCACACCTAAAGTTTGTTTAAGTACTCGAAATTTTCATTACGTAAATATTCTTTACAAAATCTGTGAATCAAGTGCTTTCTAACAATTGGATTTATGCAAACCATATTTTTGATGGAGTTGAGTCGTCATATATAAAGCGTGGCATTCGTAGATACGGAATCAAATTCAATCTATCAATCACTAAACCAAATTTCAAAAAGTTTCTGAGAAAATTAGCCCCCAAATAATTTTTGCAATGCCGAATTTCTTAGCAAAAATTTGCATCGTTTTGACCACGATGGTGATCCTTTCGTCCTGTCAGACGCCGCCAGTAATGAACTGTGGATCAGCCGGGGCGCCCTGGTCCGCCACGTGGGCGCCATATTGGCAATGTTTCAATCAATATATGGCCGCTTCGGCTGCATTTTGTCGCCAATATGGGACAACTAAGTGAGTGAAATTTTATTTAATTTAAGCTACACGCTAAAAAATTAAGTTGGTGGTAACCGCTGTTTCTTTAGGTCAATCGAGACACAAAAAATCTGAGAAGTTATCTGGAATTTATATGTATATAAAATCCCAGAAACATTAGTTTAAATGTAAAAAAATGAAGGATTTTTGTCTCTATTTTTTGTCTCCCGAACTTCCGGTTTTGCTTAACAGTACTCCTTAGCTATTTACATATGTTGTTAAATATGATAACAAATTTGTTACTACTGGGTAACAAACTATGATCATGGTTACTAAACTCACATATTTATGTATCACTTCCGGCTCATAATTAATGTTACCAACCATATCAAAACCTGCTTAAATAACAATAACACGATTATTTTATAATTCTAATTATTTATGCTACAGGGCTGACGGGAGTTGTGTCTACGGTGGGGCCAACGGTGTCAACAGCAACGGTGGAAGTATCATAATTAACGGACAGTCTTACCAAGGATGAGAACTGCGGATGGGACCATTTTTGCTTGAATGGACACTCTTAAAAATTATATTAACCTTTCTGAAAAGTAAAATTGCACTCTGAATTCTAAATTTAGTTAGTTACTACACCCAAAGTAAACTTTGTCATATTACCATTATTCTTGATTTCGTATACGTTATTTAATTTAGAATTTAAAATCCGATTTATTTTCAAAAGCACAACATTATTTCTAAGAGTGTAGCTGCCTTAAACCTTGCTCACTATTTATGTATGTGCATATTTTTGCAGAGATATGCACATGTACATGCATAATTTGGTAAAACCCAGTAAATAAAATCTATTGCATATCAGTGTTTCTTTCTACACGCATAATATTATTTTTATCCATGTATATTCAATATACATAGTGGGGTCATAAGTTCTCGTGAATGCATTTCCGGTAATAAATCCCAAAGTATTAGAGCTATCTGTTCGAAATTTTTATGGATTAACAAGGTATTAATATTGTTTAGAAATCATAACTTCTTTGTCAAGATTTCGTCCACGGGCAATTAGACCAGACATAACTCGTGACGGCCACAGGTCGATCGTGGTACGCGACAATTTTCGTGCCAAAAGTATTTCAGACTTTTCACCGTTGGCAAAAAATTTAATAGAAAAAAGGCCAGATATTTGTTGTACAGAAGTCTGACATCCGTTTAAGTATGCGGAAGTCAATACGAAGTCATCACCGTGGTGTGAATGGGAGCAAGTTGGCTGGAGAAATGAAATCTCTGTTTTTTACCGCAAAGGGTACAAGTTGAAGCCAAGAATTATTTTCAGAGTGTCCTAGAGACAAACGTTAATAACCTGAACCCTGGACCCTCCGAAAATCGCCATTGGACCTTTCAACAAGACTCTGCTCATGCGCAAGGTGCAAAATTGTCCAAAACTGGCTTCAGACGAATTTTCATGACTTTTTTTCATCCGTAGAACGGTGCTCAGTATCTGCAGACCTTAATCCCCTAAATTATGACTGGTGGTCAAAATTATAGGTACAAGTATGCTCTAAATTTCACCCAAGTGTGGAAGGGCTGAGGTCGCACTTACTGAAGATCTGGCGCTTTTCCCTCGAAATCCGTGCGTGCCGCGATCGAGCAGTTTTCGCCACGACTTATGTCTTGTGTACAAGCCCGTGGAGGAAATTGTGAAAACGAAGTTATGATTTCTAAACAAGATTAATACCTTGTTCATCCACAAAAATTTCTATCAGATAGCTCTAATACTTTGGGCTTTATCACCGGAAATGCATTCATGGGAACTTATGGTCGGACTATGTACATGGATAAAATATACTATTATGCAATATACTATATTGCATAATAGTGTATAATGTATTGTCCATAATGAACGGGAGGATGTGAAATTCGCCCTTTCCTCACATGTTTAAAGTGATGGCGTAATAGATGGACGAGCCCTAACATGAAGAAAAAATGTATGTAAGAAATGCATAAAAATGAATGAAGTGCAATTTACGCGGCAATTTTGCATTTTCAAGAAATTTCATATTTTCATTAGTAAAAAGTAAAATTATGTACACCTGATCACCTTTCACAACACACGAGTATGAAATGCGTATGAACAATGTGTGAATGGTGAAAGGTTCACTTGAAGGCGAGGTAAAAAAGGTTGCAGTATGCAACCAAGTGCTTGGCTCCCTTAAGTCACGAGTCAGTTTAAACTGCTCAGCGGTTTCGCTATGCCGTGATTTTTATAATATCAAAATACAAAAGTACAACAAACAATTTTTTGCTGGGTTGTCGGATAAGGAAATAGTAAACTTTTTAAATTGTACCCACAAAAACTTCCCTTGAATACAAAAATTCGCGACAAAATTAAACCGGTCGAATAGTGCATTGGAATATCTATGCAATGTCGAACCCACCCACATAGTCTTCACCAGTGTCAGAATTGAAGCCGTCAGCCATCCCTCGCACTACGACTGGCGTGGCTAGAATATCCAGCTTTACACCTAACTGAACTACAACAGGAGAACTGTGATGGAGACAAGGAAAACTCAATTAACTACCAAACTGGAAGCGTATCGGTAAAACGAAGACCGTTTGCTCGAAGTGATTCGGGTGAGGTTTTTGATAAACTAAAAATCCTGCAACGATAACTATATTTTTTTGTTTTATTTTGTTATTTTATTTATTTAGACCGGCGGAGCCGAGTTGGGGATGGTGTGGGACTCTAATTTAATGCTTGTACTTATGACTGTTGAGAGAGAATTGTGAGTCGAAAGTTGTTTGGGTGTTTTACAAAAAAAAATAAAATTTTATCGAGGTGTACTAATGACCTAAACATTTTCAGGCCGCCGCCGCCACCCTTACCCGTAATGATAGATGTGTTCTTTCACATTCCTCTTCCGCCCTATCCAACCCTACAACATTCTTAGCCTATTTAAACTTACTAAATACCACATTTCTTTGCTCTGTCGCAATACATGT